GCCCGCCCCCTTCTCTGCCCCCACGGGACGTGAAGCCCCGCCCCCGTCCTGTGCGCACCGGGAGTCGTAGTACGCAAGCCGCCCCAGTGCGCCTGTGCCAGGCGGGATTCTGCAGTGACCGCCGGGAAGTGTAGTCTCTTCCGGTCTCCTTTTCTTCCTCCCGACTAAGACGTTACCAGGGCTTTGCTTCTGAGAGGGAAGGATTTGAGAAACTTGTAAGTCTATTCCTGCGGGCAACTCTATTCTCAGCGACTCCCCGCGGGTGTCCAGGGACTGGAGGATTGCTTATCCGAAGTACCATGTTCAGTCCTCTACTGCTACTGTACTTTTCTCATGTGACTTCTGTGCCTCGTTTTCCTCATCTACAAAATGAGAAAAGTAACCCATCTCCCAGGATAGCATGCACATCTGAGTAACCAAAATCACTACTTAACGAATAAGGGATCTTATCATCAGAACCAGAGAGGGCTTCCACACAGACAAGTTCTTAAATCTTTTTAAAATTCTATCCTCTCTCGTTCCTTCTCTAGTGCCAAGATTAAGACTTTGAGGAGGTGCCTGACAGAGGACTTGGAAAGCAGTAGTGTTTCGAGACACCAGAAAACTCAGTGTGGTGCTAAAAGAGGATGTAACTCAGCGGTAAGTGATTTGGGTACTGGAGTTACAGCAAGTTCGGTTCAAATCCGGATTCTGGCTCTTAAGCTAGTCGTTTAGGCTTCTTCAAGTTTCATTTTCCTCATACATGAAATGGATATTGAGCTGGGGACACGGCTCAATGGTAGAGGGCTTACTTAGCATGCACAAGACCCTGAGTTTGACCCCCCCACACCAAAAAATAAAAATAAGATGGATATAATTCCTCCATTTATCCATAATGTTGACAGCCTGCTATGTCTCTGGCACTGAATCAGATTCACATGCACTGTAATGAGAGAAACAGACGTGAACCCTGCTCTCAAGAAGCATATATTCAGTAGGGCTTACTGTGAAGATTAAATAATCTGAACAGTTAGTATATACTGATGACAGTTGTCTTCTCCAAAACTCTGAGAGATAACTGAAGGCAGTAGCTTAAGCAAGCAGGGACCACAGTAAAAAGCAGCCACTGGCTGCTGTCACCACTACTCTCTAATTCCTCCATGTAGCAAGTCCTCAAAGTCCAGACCAGGGTAGGTTTCTCAACCTTGGCTTTCTTGTCATTGGAAGCCAGATAAATCTTTCTTGAAATTGGTTTCTGTTCTATATATTATAGGATATTTACCAGCATCCCTGGCCTCTATCCACCATATGCCAGTAACACACTGCTACCCCTCAGGCATGACAAACAAAAATGGCTCCAGACACTGCCATACCTCTCCTGAGGCACAAAATCACTTCCAGTTGAGAGCTAGGGAGAGGAAGGACAAGAGAATTGGAATTGCTGAATGGTCTAGGAACAAGCTAGTAACTGTGAACAGATTCATAACTTCTTCCCTCTCCTAATATTCTAACCTGGTGGACACTCAAAATAGCAGGAAGCTCTTGGTGAGGGGAGAATTTCTCTTTCTCTGTACTCATGCTATTGGCTGCTGCAGAAAATACCATCTTGGCATGGATATCTTACCCTCTCAAAAAGCTTATGGGTTTCACGTGGCTTTTTAACACCCTCTCCCTTGTACTTTTTCCCCCCAGAGTGAACAAGATCTCCCAATGGGGTCACAAGCTGGAAAATTCTGCCAGCCCTTTGAAATATTACACTTGGCACAACATTTAAGAAATAGATGTTCCATCAAATTCAGAGACTCAGAATGAACGGTATTCACGAGCCACAGGAGATTTTTTGTTTTAAAGTTTTAAAAAAGGAACTGTTTTTTCAGCTGTTGGCTAGGTCATTTCAGATCTGGGCTCTCCCATTGGGTGTTGGTAACAACCACCCTCCTCTATCCTCAGTAAGGAACATGTTGGGTAGGGGTGCAAAGAAATTATTTAAAAGAAAATACCACTTACTCAGAACATCTGTGAGTTGAGGGTAGAAGTCATTAGGTTGAAAGTTAATTTCTACCACTTGCAGAACCCCTTTAAACTTTAGATATAAATTGCCAAGGACTACCCCAGGAATTTAAAAGACATTTTTTAATGCAAATAAAAGTCTATTTTATCTAACAGTAAGCCTAAGTGACATGTAATCAAGAAAAGTAGTACAACTAAAAATGCACACAAATTCAAGATGGATTTAATTCCATAGATACAGAACTGAAACAGGTAAGAGGTCAAGTAGGTATGTGGGGCCTGGACCTGGCCTCTCACCTTTGGCTTCTAGGAGACTTAGCCCTTTCAGAACCATGGCTGAGGCAGATGGGGAGACAGTAACAGAACAATCACCCAAAGGTCATCTGCACACGTGAAGAAGTGAAATAGAGGTGCTGGTGTCAGTGAGCAGTGTTAAGGGCCACTTCACACACAGAAAGCTCCAATTTTTCTAGAAGCAGCTCAAAAGTTCCTCCTTCCTGCTCTAGCTCCCTCCTGAAGGCCTTGCGTGGTCGCAAGCCACCAGGGGCTCGCACAGCACAAAGCACAGGGCTGTATCCTCAGGATAGTGATGTTACCCACAAAGCATCCCTTAGCACAAGCCTCAGCCTGAGGGAACCCAGAGGCAACTAGGGCTTCGCTTTTGTGCAGATGAATTCAGTTTCCAATACAAATGTAGGTGGCAGGTGGGAAAAAGCCAGGCTCCCACAGTCCACTGAAAAAGGAACCTGGGTCTGTACTCAGTGTCTGTTCTGTCTGTCCCCTCCCTTAAGTCAGTGTCTCTCCCTCACCCCTTCCATTGAAAATGGAAAAAGTCCCCCAGCCTTGTCACAATCACATCCTGTTGGGGACAGTCCACCTTCTTCAGGAAGCAGGCAAAGCTTTCAATGTTTAGGATTCTCTTCCCCATACAGTGTACTTTTGTGTGGTGCTGGGGATTAAACCTGAGGCCTCTCACATGATAGACGAATGTTCTACCCCTGAGCTGCATCCTCAGCCTTCCTGCACTATTTACTACATGCTAATTTCCAAGTAATTATTTCAAACATTCATAACAATGAGGCTGATGTACTGCAAATGGGAGAGAGAGAAGGGCCCCTGAGGTTAAGTTACAAGTCCAAAGCCACTGTGTTGGCGACCCTGGGTGCTTCGGAGATCATCCCTGAACCTGCAAAGTGCTTACCACGTTGGCAGTGTTTTCTTCTTCTTCACCTTCTTCTTTTTTTTTTTCCCCCACCAGGGATCAAACTTGGGATCTTGCACTTGCAAGGCAGGTGGTAGAACCACTGAGCTAAATCCCCAGCGCTTGTTGGCAATGTTTTCTGCAATTCTCTTTAGGGGTAGGGGTTTGCTTTCAAGTACTCAAGGTTGAAGCTGGGGAGAGATTGAGTTCTGAGGTCCTAAATAAGAACCATAAAAGATATCTACACCTCCCACCCCAAAACATCAAGCACAGCTTCCTCCCCTCCCCTTTCCCCAAGGCCCAGAAACATGAAGAGAGGCAGAAAACCTTCGTTCTGCCCAGTGAGTCAGCCTTGCTTAACTTCCTGCGCAAGCTCTCCTCAAGTCAGCGGCAGCTCAGAGCTGCGGGTCTGTGTGCAGCCGAGATAAATTTGGGTCTAGAAGGGATGACGTAATGCTAAACCCGATAGGTAGCTGCCGCCTCCCAGGGCTCCAGTTGCCAGGGCTGCCTGCGCTGACCTCCCAACCACAGGGAGACGCACCAAGCCGCCCAGGTGCCCCCGCGCGGAGAAAGGGAAAGCGAGGACGTGGGGAGTGGGCAGCAGTGGGGGAGGCAGTGTTAATCCGACATCGGGGAAACTGGAAGTTTGTTGTTTTCTAACTCCAGTTTTTCTGGTGAGATCAGACCACTGGCAAAAGCTCAAACAGCTGCACTTAACTTGCCTCCTGATCCATTTCTTCCCTTAGAAAAGGGCTTCTTACATTTTATCAAATGGCCCTTATTACAGCAGCCTATTTCAGTGATTATAATGGATGTATTAATCTCTCAAATGTCCTTTTCCTTTTTTGCATGAACTTGGATCATCCAAAAAGAAATCTGCATTGCAGGACTCAGTCAATGCGGGTCTAAGAGGTTTCTTACTCTGGGGGAACCTACTCAGGAGCAACCAGTATGCCATTGGGAAAGGTTTTGCTTGGGCCGTGTCAGACGAATGTTCCCCCAATGACCTTTTGTGGTTTATGTCATAGAAGTTTATATTATTAAGCATACTTCTCAAACCAGTCTCCATTTTTCAGCTGAGAGCACCAAGTCCCAGCAAAGTACTTCCTGAGTCCACAAGCTGATGGAGCAAGGGTTAAAAGCCAGGCCTTAAGCCCTATGCTCTCTTCTGGACTTTACAATTCTTTTTTTCTGGTTGATTCATGTTTAAGAAATAATTTGAGAACCTAAAGTAGAATAGCTTTTCTGATCTTTTCAACCCAATTGGGGCCCCCGTCCTTTGGGAATACACTCCCAAAGAATCAAAGCTGCTTTGGGTTTCGGTTCAAGGCTCATTCTTCCTTAGAGAAAGGATGCATGTGGAGTCACCTTCTTCTCCACTGGTGATGACCACAAGCCCTGGGTGGGCCTCACTGTGCCACTCCAACAAAAGACCACCACAGGTAAACAGTCTTTGCTGTGTGCAACAGTTGCTTTCCTGAGGAATACCTCCCAAATAACTTATTCAAAAGACTTTTCATCATTTCTTTCTGGAATGACATTATTCTCCTGTAACTTGGATTTGTACTCTAGTGTGAGAAGATCTGCAGCTGTATCTGGCATATAAGCTGGTCAGCCATGGTGTGTTATTCTTTAGTTTTTGTTTTTGTTTTTGGTACTAGGGATCAAACTTGGGTCCTTGTGCTTGTGAGGCAGGCGGCAGAACCACTGAGCTAAATCCCCAGCCCTGTGTGTTATTCTTTTAATCGCATAATATTTTGTTTTGAATTTTTGCATCTATACTCAAAAGCAAGAGTAAACTATGGTTTCCTTTTTTGTTGTGTATGCCAGGCTTTGGTAACAATGAGCTAGTCTTTCAAAGTTAAATGCAACTTAATTCTAAAGCCTTAAAAACCAGAAAAATAAAAAGACTGCCAGAGGCCTTCTCCTGCCGCTGTGAGGATGCCCCACGTTCTTGCACAGGTCTGGGTAGCCCTCCTTCCCTCCCCTGCCAGGAGCAGATTTGGGGTGGTCCTACCCCCACGCCTTGACATCACGGCTCCCTTCCCCGTGGCACAGACAGTGGAGGTCACTTGTAGGCCCAGGCAAGCCCTGGGTGCTAAATCATACACCCAGCCCCGGCTGCCTGTGTCTGAGCGCTCAGCTCAGTGTAATATTTATGAACAGGCTCTTGCCTGTCCAATGACATGGGTGATCGCACCCTCTCTTCCAGCTCTCGCATTCTGGTTCTTGGATGCTGGGATTCTGCAGGGAGAACCTAAGACAAAATGCACCCATTTGCCTACTAGTTGCCGGGGAATGGCTGCACTGTGCACGCAGTGCTGCTCCTACAGTCAGTGCCATTAACCCTCAGCATTAAGGCTGAGACCCCTACTTTGTAGATGAGGTCCAGAAAGGGTACGTGACTTGCCCAACGTCACACAGTCATTGAGCACATTCACACCTGGGTCTTCTGACTCTCGGACCCCACCACATGAATCACGCTATGTCAGTCAGACAGAGCAGACAAAACTGGCTAGGCCAATGCTCTCAGTCAAGGGCCATTCTGTTCTTTTAGGGAGTGGCTTTGGAAACGTGTAAGAGTTACAATGACCAGGGGGTTCCAGTGGCATGTGGCGACACCCAGGATATTAAATCCTGCAACATTCTATACTAATCTGCACAAAAACTGTTCTACCAATAGCTCCCTTATTGAAAAACACTATGTCAGAATTTTAAAGGCAAAAAAACTCAGCATTCATTCAACAGATATTCCTTAAACATCTGTCACATTCTGGCTCCCAGTGAAATGCTGAACATGGCATAGTGGAGAAAACGTCTTCTGTTGCTGTCCTCAAGGTGCTTATATTCTAGCCAGACACAATGAGGATGAGCAGCTGTAAATTGTGGTAAATCCGCTGAGCAGGTTAAGTGGTAAAGGGAGTGGTGGCTTTACTGGCGGGGAGGGGATCAGAGAAGATCCCAAAGGCTGCTTAAGGCAGCTCCTGAAACTTTAAGCATACAAATCACCTGAGAATCACGGTAAGTACAGATTTGGATTCAGCAGGGCCAGGAGCCCTGTTTCTGACAGCTTCTGGGAGATCTCAAGATGCCCATCCTTGAGCCACATTCACCACAAACAGTAAGGCTGGAGTCTGTGATGAGAAGTTTGACTTTTATTCTAAGGGAGACAGTAAAACTATTGAAAGGCTTTAAAGAAGTGAGCGACATGAACCCAGTTATACTTAAGATCACTCTTGTTTCCTAGATCTGCATCCTGAAGAAGAGGGTGGGCCAGCATTCAACTAGAACCAGCTGGCTCACACTGTCAGGGTGGCAGCCAAGGCCCCACGTTCATCTTCACAGCACACACTTGCGTCTTTCCTCAGGCTTCTCAGCAAGAGCCCTTGGCCCAGAGCACAGGACAGCCCAGTTGCCCTACAAGCTGGGGCACCTTCAGGAAGCCCTATGCAGCCTGACAGGGCGTGGATTCTCAGCCCTGACAGCCTGGCGTGCGGAGCTACAGGAGCCCTACTGGTTGGGTGAGTTCCCCAGGGGGTGCAGGAAAGCTGGAACACCCTAGGCCATCGCCCTCCAGAGAAAGGGTCTGTCCTGCTTTCAGGTCGATACCCAAAGAGCCCCAGAAGGTTTTGGCTGCCTTCTCTCTGCCCTAGGACAACTGGAGAGAAAAGGATTCACCCTAGGGTGGCACCCTCCACGGTGCTCTCAGCCTTGCCTCCAAACATCCCAGATTTCATTTCTCACCTCTTGCTACTCATACTTCATACTCTGGGGCTTCTCCAAGAGCCCTGCCAAAGAAAGAGAAATTGGGTTTGACTCTTAGCTCCACTGTTGTTAGCATGTGGCCCTGGAAGGTTAACCAGCCCTGTTAAGGCTAAGGCTTCCCTTGCCTATAAAATGAGGGTAATTACAGCACCGCCTATTGGATGTTTTTGAGGATTTGATACAAAGCACTCAGCATTGTTATGGCACACAGTAAATGCCCAGTAAACGGGGGACTATTCCCTTGGAAAACAGAAGAGAGACTGTAGTTGTCAGCAGCCCTCTTGGGAACAGGTTATCAGACTCCCAGGAGACAAGACTAGAATTGTTTATTGGTTTCTTTTTGACTAGAACTAGAGATCTTACATGCCTTCCTTTGGAATTGCAAACCACAGCTCTTGGGTCCTGGCAAGTTTTAGAAATTATTTGTGGCATTGAACTAAATTTTACAGCTGGTGGAAGGAATGAAAGTTATATGCAAGGCATTTGGAGTCTTGGTGGCCAAAAAATAGGGTGGGGATGGTCAGGCTGGAGTAGAGGCAAGAGGAAAATAACAGGCATGAATGCCATAAGGTCACTCTGGGTCCCTGCAGACCATACTTGTCTCCCACAGCCAGAAATAGAACAGTCTGGGGCCTGCCCCCATTTGAATACAATATTCTACCTGGTACCCAATCACTTGCATTTGGGTGTCCCTGCCAATGGTGATAAAGATAAAAATAATATATTTCAATGTATTTCAATATAATCCAATCCCCCTTTTTGGCTGAAGTTTGGCTTTCCCAATTTCCCTCTCCCTCAGGACAGTGTGTTTATCTTTCTAGTTTTGCTGTGTTTAAATTTCCCTGCAGACATGGAGCCAGATGATAGAGGTGTGTGGCCAAGGGCACTTTGTATGGTAGAGTGGGCTTGACAGGGCTCTGGAGCAGAAGGCCCGAGTCTGTAAAGAACTGAGAGCTGACACGTTCATTTACAAGACTTTTACATGGTTCTTGGTTTCCTAAGCTTCGACAGTCAGATCTGTAGAAATGACAAGGAGAAACACAGAGTGTTTTAAAAATGAGTTTGGAGGGTTGGGGATTTGGCTCAGTTGTTCCACTGCCTGCCTCGTAAGTGCAAGGGTCTGAGTTCAATCCCTGGTACCATTAAAAAAAAAAAAAAAATCTGGAAAAAATGAGTTTGGAGGCAACGGGCAGCAAGGGAAGGAGCCACTTCTCTGGGAAGCCCAGGGTAAGCTTTTACTCTGTCTCTGATGATGGCTAGAACCCAAGTCAAATGCCATCAGAAGCTCTTGGGGTTCACTTTAAGACAACCGAATTCCCAAAATCTGGCACTGAGAAAGAGTACATACATCATGAGGGCAGGGACCGTCCTGCTGGGACCTTGCTTTGGAAGAATGACCGGCATTTCATGACATTTTTTACAAAGGGGCCCTGTTCACATGTGTTTTCCAGAGATATACTGCTCAAAGAAAGAGTCAGCTGAACTTTCAAAATGATGAGATGATGTGGACGCAGAGGCGTCTCTGGCTCCAGTGCCCATTACTGTGTTTTTGACCAGAGAGATCCCAGTCAGCTGTTGACAGATTTCACACCTCTGGCCAGGCCACCCAGGGACAGTGCTGTCAGAGACAAGTGCTTCCCTGAAACTTAGCAGAAGAGCCAGAGAGCAGGTGTCTGACCGTGGGGAACTGAAGTTACCCACACCCACTCCAGCCGGGCTGAGGCTGTAACCACACCCTAGCCTCAGAAGGAGAAGCCCCCAGGAAGACGTGCTCTCCTCCTCCTCAGCTAAGGCTCAGGGGAAGCCATCTCACCACTGCTACCACCTCTGGCTCTTATGCCCATCACCCATAGGTAAAAGAAAACATTTTTTAAGTATGGCAAATTCAAACAAGCCTCTTTTTGGGGGGGGGGGAACTGGGTGTTGAACGTAGGACCTTGCGCTTTCGAGGCAGGCGTGGCGCCACTGAGCTACATCCCCGGCCCAAATTAGCCTCATTTTGAAAGGGGAGTGAGAATGTTGCAATGACCTTTGCAGTAACCTGACACACCCTGTGATCAGTACACCGGGTTGAGAACTGCTGACTTTATGAGCACTTGACCTGTGAAACGAAAGCCATTTGGGGCTCTGTCTGGAACCCATTCTCCTATCAGGCAGAGGAACGCAGAGAAGCAAGGCCTGGTTCTGCCCCTGCGGTCAGCTTGGGCAGTCACTGTCCTGCTCTGGACCTCTGCCTCCCTGACCTCAGAGTGAGGATAGTGGCGCTCCTTCAGGTCCTGACGCTCTGCTTTGGCACCTGCGTCATTTGGACGCGACACCCCAAATGTTGAATGGGAGGAGAGCCTGGAACAGAAAGTCAGACTACCAGACAACTCCTTCCATTCTGGCCTATTGAAAGCTGTTTACTTCAGGCTGCAAGATTCCCATTTCTTGCTGGGTTGTTCCTTTTTTACTTCTTTTTCTTCCTCTCCCTTTTTCGTGAAACTCAGAAGCCACAAAACCACAACTCATCTCCCCAAACTGGGTTACTGGGAAGCCAGACCTTTGGGGGTTAGGTGTGTCAAGTCTGACATGCTAGTGGTATCTAAGTGAAACCAGGCTGGGGTAAGCATGTGCTTCTCCTCCAGAAACCCAGTTTAAATCAATATTTATCCAACTGTATTTATAGAAAGGGATGGCAGTAGGGAGGAGGGGTGCAGTACAGTGGGGGGTCTAACACAGAATAAGCCACAATGACTGATGCAAATCTTCGTGGCCACGAGAAAAGAAGCAAAAGACCCAGCTTTTGATGAACCTGCTGTTTGCCTCAGTGCCATAGCAACAGCCCCAAGTCCTCTACTATGCCCAGAGGACAGACTCGGGAAAGGCAGTAAGAGGGGGTGGTGTTTCCTAGGAGCCCTACACTTGAGTTAGGGCCAGGAGGGCTGGCTATTCTGTCTCCAGCCTCGCTTCTAAACCTCTCCTAAGCAAGGTGTGTGCAGGGAAGGCTTTGGACAGTTGACGGGGTATTCTAAACCCCAGTTCTGCTGCACGCTGCCGGGTGACCTGGAATACGTCGTTTCACCTGTCTGGACTTCAGTCCCTGGCTGTAAAATGAGTACACGTGTGTATGGCTCAGACCACAGGCTTGGAATGAGAGGCCTAGATTGCAAACTCAGCACTGCCACTAACTCACCATGTGATGTTCGGGAAAGCTACCCAGCATCCCTGCTCCCTGGTTCCCATCTCTGTAAAATGAAGATCATAAAGTCACATGTGTCTCAGAGTTACTGTGAAGATCGGAGGCGGTAACACACGTTTAGCTTCATACTTAGTAAATAGTCAGTGCTCAGTAAATGGAAGCCAGTACTAATACTGTGAGTGCCATTAATGGTTGCTGTTGCATAGTGGCACCTTCTTCATTTCCCTGTTTCTCGGAATGAAGATCCTGTTTCTGAGAGTGTGTATCAGAGTGTCTGGACTAGATAGGGAAGATAGGCAGGAAGGTGCTTTGCCTTGCTTGGTAGATGGTGGAGCCTCCTTTTCCTCCCCAAGTAGGAACAACGCAATACAGCTTCTGTAACTTCCTAACTTCCTGTTCCCTGGAACCCCTGGACAAAGTACCCGATCCCAGGGACTCTGGGATGCCAAAAGCCACTTGCTACTCTCAAAAGTCTACCACTAGCATTTACCAGGGGGCAGAGGTCATATTTAAACCTGGGGGGAAAAGTTGAATCTGGGGAACATATTTAAGAGCAGAAGAAAGAAAAACCTGATGTAACAGCGCTCTTCATACCACTCTCCCCATCCCTACCATATATCAGCCCACACTTTGCAGACAAAAAGCACCTGCACCTACTATGCATATATGTGGACTGTCAGATGGCTCCCCTGCAGAACTCACTGTTAGGGGCTCCCCTGCAGAAATGTGAAGCACACAAACACTCGTTACCATCAAAGCCTTCCATTTTAGCCAGAGCCACCCTAGTCCCCTCCTGTTAAAGCAGTAACTTGTCCTTTCTCAGGATCACAGCTGCTGATAGAAGGCAGTTTGGGCTCTCCAAACCTGACCCATCATTTCCTTGCAGGCCTGACCTTAACTACCAGAGGGCCTTAAAAATTTCCAACCTTGCCCCAAGTCTTCAGAATCATGTGTCCTAGCCTCCACATCTGATCACCAGGAAATGATAAGTCTAACCAAGAAATTTATAGCAAGTGTCTACTCTATGCCCAGTGACATGCAATATGTAACAGGTAACAGTGAAATACTGTCCTCTTTTCCCCTAAGATGCTAATACTCTCCCTGCCAGAATAAAGCTAATGCACAGGAAGGAAGGAGAGAATCTCATTTCATGGTACTGATCGTCAAAGCCTCAGAAAAGGCCAGCATGGTGGCACACACTTATAATCCCAGCACTCGGGAGGCTGAGGCAGGAGGATCACATTGAATTCGAGGCCAGCCTCACCTACACAGTGAGTTCCAGGCCAGCCTGAACTACATAGCAAGACCCTGTCTTAAAAAACTAAAAAGGAGCTCAGAAAAGGTAGTTTATTGAGCAGCTGTTTGACTTAAGGTACTTTAAATATTTAAGAGCAGTGCTTAATTTAGTTCAGAAATTATGTGAGGGTGGTGTTATCATTATGCCCATTTTACAAAATGGAACCTCAGAAGGCCGAGTAACGTGTGCAAGTTCAGTGTGGGCCCGTAAGCAGCACAGTAGGAATTTGGGGCCCTGCTCCATGTGACTGCCAAACTTTCATTCTCAATTACTTTAAATCAAGAAATAGAGCCAAGTGGGATGAAACAGCTGCGACAGCTTTGTGGCAGAGGTAGGAACTGACCTAGGTCTTGAATGAAGGGAGTGCAGGATCCAGAAACCTCAAGAGTTAGAGAATGAGGGCATTGTAGACAAGTCCGAGCCAAACACAGGCAAGACTGTGAAGCTCTGCTTGCCCTGGACCTGCTGGATGGGAGCAGCGGTTTCAGGGTCGGGAGGTTAAGTCAGGCGTGGGGGCGGGGGAAGACAGCACCGCAAGGGACTGCTGCTTCTGCACCTGTGCTCCTAGGAAAACCCTGCACCTTCAAACCCAGCTTTTCCGCTATAGAGAGCAGCCCATAGCTTTCTACTCTGAAATGGTGCCCCCTCTCCTAATTCCCAGACTCTGGGAAGCCAGTTTCTCTCCAGTGTTTATGTATATAGCACCTCTTTGTGACTCTCTTCCTCCGTTTCAGTTTTAACCTTTTCCAAAGGTGGAGGGGCGACTAGGCTTTTTTCTAATTATTAGCTGTTAATTGCTACTGGTTTCCGTATCAGGCAACACTGCCACAGATTGTTGACATATAATTTCCCAAATTGTGATAACAGGGTCAGAGCCTTCACGATTGTTTTGTTTTTTGTTTTTTGGTACCAGGGATCGAACTTAGGTCCTTGTGCTTGCTGCGGAACCACTGAGCTAAATCCCCAGCCCCATAATTAATGTTTCCGGAGGGTTTCTAGAGGCCTTCAGTTTGAGATTTATAGGGATTCAAATCGATTGGCATTTTAGAATTATCTGCATTTCTTAGGCAGTCCTTTGACTTGTACACTAGGGCAACACTGGGAGATTTTATTTTCTGTTGTCAGGTTGTTGTTTTTTACCTTCGGTCCTTGTGCTTTCAAGACAGGCAGAGGAACCACGGGGCTAAATCCCCGACCCTGGGAGATTTCATTTGAACCTATCCCTCAAGAAAGTTCACCTTATCACTGGGTGAACCCTGAGGTCACAATTTGCTGAGCACTCCTAGTACAGACACCTCAACCAAGCAATGAAAAGCAGTTCTGGCTACAATGGAAAATAAAGCGCGCTCCTGCCAAAAGTACTTAGCAAACCGTAAAAATGGAACGTGTAACTCGTGACCAGTGCCTGTCGGTGCATCTCGGCAAGGCCCCTAAGAACCTCAGATGGAGACTCGAGGACTGACCCTCGCCTCCGGAATAAGAGCGTCCCTTTAAGAAGAGACTGGACCCGCTGGCTGCACTACAGCTCCCAGAGATTTCCTGGGTGGCATCCTGGCCCCGCCCCCAGCCTCCGGCCTCAGCAACGTGTGACGCCACACGAGACTGGAGCCACCGATTGGCTGAATGACACAGCTAGGTCAAGTCCAGTCCGTGGAAAGAAGTTTGTCTCCATGTGGAAACCATGTGTCTCGAGCGGGGAGGGGGGAGGAGGAGGAGGCGGAGAAACTGAGATCAAGCGATTACAAGGGAACTAGCAGAAATGAAGGCGGGGAGGTTGTGCACCTGAGCCGGCTAGCAATGCCCTTTGCAGCAATGACCTAAAAAAGAGAAGGAAAAAAAAAAAGCCTTGTACAACAAACAAAACCTAAGCGCCCCCCCCTCCGCGACATAATAACTTGAAGGCTACGGTCCTTGTTTCCTTCCAAAAACCAGGGGCTTGGGAAATGCTGGAATCCAATCGAACGCCCTGATCCTCCCCCCACAACTGAATGATGTAAGCGTTTCGGAGAGCCGAGCTCTGAAGCAAAACAAGCCCCGCGCACGCGGAGCGACCCGCAGTGCCCGAGCCCGGCGCACGTACGACCCGCCCCCCGACTCGCGTTATTGCTGTGCACACGCGGACCGCCGTGACGCGAGGGCATTGTGTGCAGCGAGCAGAAAACAACGGCGAGCACAGCCAGCGCTAAGAAGCGCCCCAGTAAAACGAGACTGATGTAGGACCTGCCGTTTTCTATTTGGGGAGACCTAGGCCGGACTGGGGAGGAGGGAGTGAGGAGGATACAGTGTCCCCCCTCGGGCCGCTCCGGTTTGCAGGGAGGATAATAGAGGACCGGGCGGGTGGTCGCGTAGTTTGCAGGAGGTCACCCACGCCTGCGTGAGCTGCTGGAGAGGGGGGCGACGGCCTGGAGCTGGGTGCCTGCGGCCGAGCCAGGCAGGGCGCAGTGCCCCACGCTCTCGGGGAAATCTGGGGGCCGCTGGCATCACGTCATTTAGAACCATACAGCGGCGACGGAGAGGCGAGAGAGCTAAAAATACTCCTGCGGGGAGCCTGCCGGAGGAGGGGGGCTGCGGGGCCGAGGGGCTGGCCGATTTACCCACACGAAGTTGACTTTGGGGCGCTAAGGCTCCCGAGCCCCTCTCGGGG